GTATAGCATGACAGATTATGTTACCACCTACGTGAGATCATGCGAAAAATGTGCAGTGAGTAAAAAAGGAAACAAAACTAACCGATCTGCATTACAAGAGTACTTTGCAGGTTCCCCATTAGACAGGGTACAATTAGACATCTTGGGTCCCTTTCCAATATCTAAAAAAGGAAACAAGTACATTCTTGTATTAGTAGATCAGTTCACCAAATGGACTGAGTGTTACCCCCTCCCTGACCAAACCGCCGAGTCCATTGCTGAGATACTGGTAAAGGAGTTTATTGCACGATTTGGCGTACCTCTCGAAATACACACCGATCAGGGGCGAAATTTTGACAGCGAATTGATGAAAAAGCTGGCTTCACTGATGGGATGGGCAAAGACGAGAACAACTCCGTATCATCCGTCCTCCAACGGACTGGTAGAACGGTTCAATAGAACCCTGTTACAAATGATGCGGTGTTTTGTTAGCCAGAACCAAGATGATTGGGACACCCATCTCCCACTTCTTGCTTGGTCCTATCGCAGTACGCCGCACACCAGCACAGGACTAACGCCTAACCGCCTAATGCTTGGTCACGACATTCACCTTCCACAGGAAGTCATCTTTGGGCTACATCCATCTGAGCAGCATTCTGAAGCAGATTATGTCGAACAACTAAGGATATCTATGAAGAAGTGCGAGGATCTTGCTCGTCAGAACTTGAAGAAAGCAGTCAAAAGCCAGAAAAGATTGCATGATTTAAGGCTGTACGAGAGAGCATATAATATTGGTGACCTCGTCTACATCAAGGATGATGCTAAAAAGATAGGGAAGAGCCCAAAACTTCAGCCTCTCTGGAAAGGACCAGCTGTTGTTTCCAAAAAGTTGGGACCAGTTTTGTATAATGTGATAACGAAAAAAGGTTCATCCATCCTCCATCATGATCGTCTGAAGCCATGTCAAGTTGATACACTCCCAAGATGGATTGCCAAGGTTCGTCGCCAGTTAAAATATTGTAACGACTTTGACGAACTTTTTAAGGAATGTGCAGATGGAGTTGAGGATAGGCGAGGAAACGATGAAGTTTGGACAGCAGAATCAAGCCTACAGAAAGAAGAGAAAGCCTCTGAATGTCCAGAGGGAGTTGAGGATAGGCGAGGAAACGATGATGTTTGGACAACAGAATCAAGCCTACAGAAAGAAGAGAAAGCCTCCGAATGTGCAGATGGAGTTGAGGATAGGCGAGGAAACGATGATGTTTGGACAACAGAATCAAGCCTACAGAAGGAAGGGAAAGCCTCCAAGAAGAATGATGCAGTAGCACCTGTCACAAAGAAACCTACAGACCAAGGGGAATTCACTAGGAGTGGGAGAGCGGTAAGGCGCCCACAGAGATTTGACAGTTAAATTGAACATTTTGCTTTGTACATGTACTATTTGTTTTATGTGTTTGTTGAAAATGTAACATTTTCTTTCTTGGGAGGGGAGTAGTGTAGTGCAATTTTGTATTTGCGTCGGGTTCGGCGTCTCAGTAATTACAGTAAGTTGTTCTAAAATTAAACTCTGAAGCTGACGGACGTGTTCTTGTCTTCTCCCGGGATTTTGGAGCCACGTGGTGCCAAACTAGGACCCACACCATTGCCAAAGCACCACAGAATATATACCCGGTCCTCAGACTCGCACGAACATTCGTAGTACGGAATGCATGAACGCACGAGCAGTCGTATTGTCGCACGTTCAATCGTCCGATTACCTTATCAGTCGTGCAATCCTATCCCATTATCTTAGACTTACAACACTCGCTTTCATTCTACAACAGTTGCATATAGACGCAAGACATATCGCAAGATTTAATGCACAACAGTCGCTTTAGATCGTGCGAATTTCGTACGAACACTTTTTTCATATGCGATAATTTTGGCAACAGTTTACGATCATAAACAAAATATTCGGTCGCACGAATATTTTGTCGCCTCTGCTCGTGCGCCAACTGTGAAAGCCTAGCAGATTTTCCCCAAATTTACATACGAGGAAATGGATATGTTGAAGATTAAAGACTTATCAAGGCAAAGGGCGTGGTCTTAAAGGGGCCTGGACACAGTTTCAGCTGATTTTTTTTAAAATTAATTTTAATGTTTATAATTCCTACATAAGGCATCATCTATTGATTAGCAAAATTTTGTACATCATTTGTTGAATAACAATTAATATACACAACTTAAAGTTCTTAATAATTTAAACAAGGCTTGTTCCTTGTTTTTGTTTATATATAGAAATATTATATTTATAACAAAGTAAAGTTCAGTAAATCAATAGTAACTATCGTACCGTATTTAAATTTAATTTTTATTAGAAATTATCTACTTTGAACGAACATTTATCAGTTTATTAAAGGTACTTGGACACAGATTTGAAGTTATTATTTTCTCTATATTATTACGACTTACATATTTAAATAGCATTTTACACAAAAATTAATTAAAAATCTTATTTCCTTTAAAAGATATTGAAATTTCATTTTTTTCGGCGGGTTTGATTGACATATCCTTGCATTCTCACAAATTTAATTTTATTCTTAATCCTTAGGAAAAGTGGCAATCTCGTTTTGTATAAATGAAAAATATTAATACTATAATCCAGAAAATTCAGAGTAGGCACGTTCGAAAGCAAAACAAACACACAATATATTGTCAGTCCGTGCAGTTGTGGTAAACAGACTGTGACGATTGAACGCACCCGGTGATTTCTAAATATAAACAATAACAGAACTCTAGCCCTGTTTACAAAAACTGTGTACATAACACGAGTGTGTTCGATTTGCAAAACTCTGTACGCATCTCTTAGTTCGGAATGACGATACTTGTGAAGGTGTTTTGCTTTCTAACATTTCTACTCTGAATAAAATTATTTTTCTTGATAGAAGTTTTAATATTTTTCATTAAAACACATCAAAATTGCCACTTTTCCTAAGGATTAAGAATAAAGTTAAAATTTGTGAAAGTGCAAGGATGTGTCAATCAAACCCGCCAAAAAATTTAAAGTTTTAATAACTTTTAAATGAAATAAGATTTTTAATTAATTTTTGTGTGAAATACTATCAAAATATACAATTCGTGATATACAGAAACAATGAGAAAATATTAACTTCAATTATGTGTCCAAGTACCTTTAACCTGTGTAAACAAAAACATGACAGAGAGCTTGTTTACATAACAAAGGTTTGGAGCTATAAATCTGTCTTGTATCTGGACAACTGGCGTTCAAATGTTTGATTATCATTAAAAAGACTTAAGTTAAATATTTGTAAAAATGGAAAAAGAAATATTGAAATTAAAGCTGGAACTGTGTCCATGCCCCTTTAAAGTCATTTCAAAGTTAACCAAAATTGACACCAAATAAAAACATTTTCATTTTGCTTACTATAAAGACTAGGATCAAATCTTGTAAGAGGATGCATCCTAGCACATCATGTATCTCGAAAGTAGGTTAAATTGACCTACTTTTTAAAATTTTTGTGGGCGTTTGTTTTCAAATTAATATGGAGGTATATTTTTGACACTTTAAAGCTTAGAGGATCATTAAACTTTGTCAATTGATGCATTTTGGGTCCTCAAACAAAGTCAACTTAAAAGTCACCGTGATCTACTACATGTATTTGAATTTTATGTCTTATCTTAAACATTTGATCCCATTATTTTTCAAACACTGAGAGATTTAGAATCATCAAATCATGTAAGTTGATGCATCTTGGGGCCTTTATTTCAACATATTTATGAGAAACTATGACTTACTTTTTAAATTTTGCAGGCATTTGTTTTATTATTGTTTAAAAGGCATATTTCAGACCTTTGATCATCAAACTTCAGTTGATGCATCTTGTATCTTCAAAAAACGTCGACCATAAAGTAGGTCAAGGTGACCTACTTTTGACATGTTATCATATTAGGTATATTAAAGTATCACAGGTACTTATTGGCTTAGAAACATCAAACTTTGTCAGTTGAGCATCTTGGGTCGTCGGAAAACATCAACAAAAAGTAGGTTATCATGACCTACTTTTGACATGTCATGTCTATATCTAAGTATCTTAGGTACTTATTGGCCTAGAAGTAGTAAACGTTGTCAGTTGAGGCAACCTTAGGTTTTTGGAGAACATCAACTAAAAAGTAGGTCACCATGACCTACATTTGACATTTCATATCTATATTATAGTATCTTAGGTACTTATTGGCCTAGAATTTGTAAACTTTGTCAGTTGATGCATCTTGGGTTTTCAGAGAACGACATCCAGAAAGAAGGTCACAGTGACCTACTTTTGAATATCCAAGGTACTTAATGGCTTTGAATCATCAAACATTTGCAGTTGATGCATCTTGAGTTTTCAGAGAATGTCGTCTATTTAGTAGGTCACAGTGACCTACTTGTGATATTTTAGGGCTATATTTAAGTACCTCGGGTGATTTTTGTATTACAATTGTTAAACTTTGTCAGTTGATGCATCGTGGGATAATTTCGACAGAAAAGTAGGTCATGGTGATGTACTTTTGAATATCTTAGGTAATTATTGGCTTAGAATCATCAAACCATATTGTCCAGCAACTCTGGACAAACTGCCTCGTCGGAAGGATTGAATAAAATCTTTATGAGAAAAAAATGCACTGATGAACTCCATGCAAAGGAGAGTCAAGATTGTGACAGATGCACCAGGAAGGCATAGCTAGGAGATAATAAGGATTTTGATTTTTCACTTTTGGCGATGCCTTCAATTGAGTTTGAACAACACTGTTACACATGAATTATAAGTCATAATCAAATGAGATATTGATAACCTATTGATTAAAAATAAGTTTAAATGTGGAAATAATTAGTAATAACATTAAATCATCACAAAGGTTAACTCTGCGTTTTTCTTTCTTTAAGTATATTGTAAAGCAATATTTTTATAGCTTGCAGCACGTACCTCATGATGTAGAATGGGACATAACATTTACAATATGAATATAAAATGAAAACTTACTATTCAAAACAATGTGCAGCACTTAAAATCCAGAATGAATTGAGAATGGTTCCTCCACAGAGTGGTGCAGTATGTGTATTATTATTGATTCTAATACCCACTTGCCAGGGAAACCTTCCAGGACCTTTGATCGCAAAATCTCCATAAAGGAGGTCGGATGCAAGAAGCTGGTCACAATCTTGAATGAATAAAAAAAAATTGAGAGGTATTCAAGTTTTTGTTTGTTTGAAGATCCCACGTTCTTCTTCGACATGTTATCACTTGCGAGTGTATGTATATGCACTTATTTTTCGTAAAATACGAAAGAGTTAATCCTATCTTATACTTTTCTAAATAAGAAAAGCATAATAAGAATTGTGTATTTACTAGTAATTCGAAAGGAGCTTCATAAGGAATATTTTATTCAGTTGGTGTGTATGTCTAATATTAATGATTTTTGATTAGTATTTTTCATCAAATGTCTTAATCACTTGCAAATTGAAAAATGCTAAGGGGTGTTAAGAAAGTTCGTTCCAGCATAAAATATTTTCAAAAATTCCAAAGAGTGCTTAATAAATATATTGATTTTCAAGGTTGACAAAATCACAACTTGTAGGAAATTATAGGATTTTTCTTCCATATGAAAATACATATGACATCTTTAAAGCACCCGAATGATAGAAATGCTGGTCATTTTGAGTGAAAATAAAGGAAGATTTACTTTTCTCTCTTCATAGCTTATCTTGCATCAGGCCAGCTGATAAGCGTAGGTATAAGAACGATAGATCACTTTTCAAAAGAACAGGTGTGTCATTTTAAAATTTTTCACAGATTTGGTAATTTTTGCATAGTATTTGAAAGGATGTTTTGACCTATGTACTCAATATATATCACAAATATGCGTTATCTCTAATTTTTCTGAACAGACTTCATTAGTTTTCATACCTGCCTTCCCTTTATTGATTCAACAAAAGACAGTTAATATAATAGTCTTCTTGAAAAGACCAAGGAACATCCAAATTTAGATTCTTCGACACCTGAATATAGGCTCGGTTCTGTGATTATGGATATTGCACATCATAGGCTTTTTAAACCCGCATGTTTCATGGAAGAAAATGCAGCTAAAACAATCCGTCTTTTCCTTAAACTTCAATATGCCAATAAAGGAATTGACGCGGTTAATATAAGTAATATTCTTAATCACAAAAGGGTCCAGTCTTGTATTCCACCATATTTCAAGTTAAAGACTACGCCTTGTATTTCCTACAAATTTACATCGACCATTGCTTCCAAACTTTTCAATTACAAAAGCACTTTACATGGCCTGGATATCGACTATCTGAAAAATAATCCCCTTTCCTGTTCATGTTCTTCTTCGCCCTATAACTATAGTCCTTCTGGACACGTTATTACAGGTGACGTAAAAATAGTTCGTAATGAGGACCTTAGATCACTTATTTTAAAAGGTCCTAAATATAGGGAACCCCGATTCTTCAACTGGCGTCGGAATTTTATAAATATTATGGATTCTGTTGAAAATTACGCCAGACGATGGGCTAGATATGAAAAAGAAGACATTGACACCTTGTCAGAATGGATTAAATGTATCAGATCCATGTTAAAGTCACATATTAAAAGATTGAGGGGCAAAATGAAAACCATTTATCCTTCTGTGTTCAATAAACCAGAAGTGAAAAAAGAATTAGATAGATTACACGATCAGTACGTAATGGTTCCTGCCGACAAAGCAGGTAACAACATTGTCTTTGTTTGTAAGGCTCATTATATAAATTGCATTCTAGAAGAATTTGGATTTAATTCTACAAGTGGTAATCCTACTTAATACTTCTCTTTCTAAGGAAGAAATTCTTCAAAACCACCTGTCAGTTTTGAATACTTTAAATATTCCACAGAGCCAAAATGAATTTGAACTACCTTATATATATTGGATTCCAAAACTTCATAAGAATCCTTACAAACAAAGATACATTGCAGGTTCCAGTAAATGTTCAACCAAGCCTCTTTCGTTACTTCTCACTAAAATATTGACAGTAGTGAAGGAAAAACTTCAAGAGTACTGTACAACTATATATTCAAGAAGTGGTGTAAATCAGATGTGGATACTTAAAAATTCTAAAGAACGTTTGGACAATTTGAAATCACAAGACTTTACAAAAATCAACAGCCTAAAAACTTACGACTTTTCAACTTTATCATTGAAAGCTTTTTCTTCAACAAAAAAGGAACTCGTAAGTTTACTTACCTCGTCATTGGTCATTTGAAAAATTATTTTGTTACAACAGATTCTGATTGCACACATAAGTACTCTGAAATTGACATCAAGAAGATGCTTGAGTTTCTGATTGACAATATCTATGTGGTTTTTGGAGACCAGGTATTCCAACAATCTATTGGAATTCCTATGGGTACAAATTGCGCTCCGTTATTAGCAGACTTATTTTTATATTCATATGAAGCAGAATTTATGCAAAATCTTTTATGTGAAAAGAAGATAACACTTGCTGTGGCCTTCAACTCGACATTTAGATATATCGACGACGTATTGTCAATTAATAATGATAATTTCCATTCTTACGTCGACACGATATATCCTGGTGAGCTTGAGATAAAAGATACCACAGAGTCCGACACTTCTGCTTCATACTTGGATATTTTACTTGAAAAAGACACTAATGGTAATCTAACAACCAAGCTATATGATAAACGTGATGACTTAAACTTTTCTATCGTCAACTTCCCTTACTTATGCAGCAATATACCTTCATCACCTGCATACGGAGTATTTATATCTCAGTTGATTCGATACGCAAGAGCATGCTCTACGTATGAACAATTTCTGAAACGAGGTAAACTATTGACAAGCAAGTTGATGAAACAAGAATATCAACAGTCTCGTTTAAAGTCATCATTTCGTAAATTCTATGGTCGATACAATGACCTTGTCAGCAAATACAATTTATCATTGAATGAAGTGCTGACTGACGTTTTTCATACCAATTGTTAGTCCATTATTTATACACTGAATTGACCACGGATTTTTTCCGTTATTTCCTGATTATGACAACGAGCACACGGCAGGTGTGACCGGTCGGCAGGGGATGCTCACTCCTCCATGGCACCTGATCCCACCTCTGATGTTTCGGAGGTCCGTGTTTGCTCTGCTCTTATTTTGTATATTTGTTTAATGGATGTTGAGATTGAATACTTTTCGTTATTTTCATATCCTCCTTTTCTTAAAACCTTATCAGTAGCGCGATTGATTGACTGATTGTATATTGTTTAACGTCCCTCTCGAAAATTTTTCACTCATATGGAGACGCTAGTTTCATACTTATTAGGTCACCTGAGTAAACTAAGGTGACCTATTGTTATCCGTTTCGTCCGTCGTCGTGCGTTGTGTTAACATTTAAACATTTTCAGCTTCTTCTCTGCAACCACTGAACCAATTTCAACCAAATTTTACATAAAGCATCTATCGGTAAAGGGAAACAAAAATTGTGAATTTCATTATCCCTGCCCCCCTGGGGCCTTAGGGATGGGAGAAAAACCACTAAAATTAATGAAATCTTCAAAAATCTACTTTTTTACTCCTGGACACCAAGCAGACAAACTGTTTGCATGATTGAAATCAGCATTGAATTCCCTACCAAAATCATGAAATTCATGGCTCTGGGGTCAGGGGTTCTAGTGCTAAGGCGGGGCTAGAAGGAGTATATAGTGAAAATGCATTAACTCTTTGAAAATCTTCTTCTCTGCTCCTGGTTTTTAAGTAAACCTACTAAGTGCATAGTTATGGTGAGCAAAAGTGCCTCTACCAATATTGTGAAATTTTATGGCCCCAGGGTCAGGGGTTCTGGTGTTAGGGCGAGGTTCTATTAATTATATAGTGAAAGTACATTAATTCTTTGAAAAACTTATTTCTTTGGTCCTGGGTATTAAATAAACTAACTTAGCCGATATTTATGATGAGCAGGAGTGCCTCTACCAAAATTGTGAATTTTAAGGTAGCAGGGTCAGGGCTTCTGGTGTTAGGGTGGGACTACCTGTATTTGATTATATAGCAAAAATGTATCAATTCTTTGGAAAATCTTCTTCTCTGCTCCTGGTTATGAAATAAACTAAGTGCAAAGTTGTGATGAGCAAGAGTGCCTCTACCAAAATTGTGAATTTCAAGGCCCCCAGGGTCAGGGGTTCTGGTGTTAGGGCAGGGCTCTATTTATTATATAGTGAAAATACATTTAATTATTTGAAAGTCCTTTTCTCTGCTTTTAGGTATTAATAAAACTAAGTAAGTACATTGTTATGATGAGCAAGATTGCCTCTTCCAAATTTGCGAATTTTATGGCCCCAGGGTCAGGGGTTCTGGTGTTAGGGTGATTATATAGTGAAAATACATTAATTCTTTGAAAATTTTCTTCCCCGCTCCTGGGTATTAAGCAGATGAACTATATATAGTTATGATGAGCAAGGGCCCTAATCTTCCAGGATTGTGAATTTCAAGGCCCCAGAGTCAGTTGTAGCATAGAGGGGGGGGGGGGTATACATGTACTTATATACTGAAAATGAATGAATTATTTGAAGTCTTCTCCTTTGTATTTATCAAATATTTTTGATTAGCAAGGGTGCTTTTTCAAAACTTGTGCAACGTGTGGCCCCAGGGTCGTGGGTTCTGGAGTAAGAACAGGGCTCTATTGATTATAGAGTGGAAATATATTTAATTCTTTAAAAGTCTTCTTCTCTACTTCTAAATATTAATTAAACTAACTAAGTACACAGTTATGAAGACAAAGAGTGCCTCTTCCAAAATTGTGAATTTCAAGGTCCCAGGGTCAGGGGTACCATAGAGGGGGGCTGTACTCATATACTGAAAATGAATGATTTGTTTGAAATCTGCTCCTTGGTATTAATCAAATATTATATAAGCAATTTTATTAAGAGTGCTTTATAAAAAATTGTGTAATATGTGGACCTAGGGTCAGGGGTTCATGTGTGGTAGGGGCACTACTGATTATTGTTGAATATTACTGATTAGTTGAAGTGCATTTTTGTTCCCCTACCCTGCAAATGGGTATTAAGAAACCAAACTAAGCCATTGCTAAGTGTATAGTTATGATGATCAATGGTACCTCTTTCAAAATTTTGAATACCATAGCAAATTCAATCACTGGAAAGTTGTTG